CATAACTAATTCGAGATGCAACGTTTTTGCCTCTTTGTCTGTCACCTAGTTAATCTTCGGTATTCCCAGTTTAACACTTTACAAGCAAGAAAGGCATTTATATGTAGAAAAGAAGCGACCTAAGGCCTATCTAATTCAATACTTCTCGCTCGGTATACGACGCAAGCAGATAAAAAACTCTATATTCTGCAGGCATCTGTGTGCAGATTACTCTACAGTTTGCTGCAAGCAATCCATATTAACGCTGAACCGTTCCCATCTATCTCTACTCCTTTGCATACCTTGGTCAGAACTGAAAATATAAGACGAAAGACATCGAAAATAAGCCTTTCTTCTTGTTTGGCGTGAAGATTGGGCAGACTTTCGCGGGCCCCCCTTGTGACATGTGGCCTGCAGGTCCAATCGCTCGTTTCATGAGGCGTCCATCTCTCGGCTGCGCGTAAATCATCGTGTCAAATGGTCAAAAACGTATGTAATATCATTATTATGACGCCAGAGCATGCGGAACCTGGATATGCATCATTCTTTGAGTTTGGACGGGTGGTCTGTCCGCCAACGCCTCCCAGCCAGGTAAGCGGTACGAGCTGCATGCACCGCTTCTGGAGCTAGAAACCCCACCGTAATGCCCCCTGATTTTCCAAAAATGCAATATAACTCACCAAGTTGGAGGATTAGGAACGGCAATATGCCCAAGGGAGCGCTCCTACACCACGAGCTCCCGAACAGGCCTGGGTCACTCACTCACCGCTGGTCATCCGCGGAGCCTATCCTCCAATCCGTTGTTCTTCGACTGAAATAAAATATTAAGAATAGTTACCAACATATTGAATTGGAGGGTTTCAGTTTATAAAAGGCCTTTTTTTGCGCCGCGCTTCCGGTGCAGTGCTCGCAGATTGCCAGGTTTCGAACTCTGCTCCTCCCGCCGGCCCCTGTGCACAAAAGGCGTTATCCCTCCGTTTATGTATTTTCCAGGGTCAGTGGGTAATAAAAATGCCACCTGTGGCTGTTTGCGAGTTGTTAGTGGGCGGCATGACCTGCGCCGCCTGCACGGGAGCCGTTCAAAGCAGTCTGATCAAATGCCCTGGCGCCATTCAAGCTCAAGTGGACCTTTTGAGGGAAACTGCACGCGTCGCCTACAACAGTGATGTTATAAGCCCGGCTGAACTTTGCGCAGCAGTCGAAAGCCTGGGTTTTCACGCACAAGTCCTGCAGATATTCGTGGCAAATAACCCGAGCCCGTCCGCTGAAAGCAGCCTCAGAACCACAACAGACTCTGCAGAACAATCAACGGACGAGCAACAGGAGGTTTCGAAAGAACTGTTGGTGGATGGATCGGCTGCAGGGGGATGCAAAGAGGTGGAGCTGCGGCTCCCTCAATGTCAAGAAGCAACGCAGCAAGCGCATGATTTCAATGAGCTTTGGGCCATGTCAAAGGCCACACTTCGTCTCGCGCTAACAGAGCGTCAGGGCTTATCTGTCGAATCCGCCTGCAGCAGTCTGAAGAGCAGCAACGGAGTTATGGGCTGTGTAGTCACCTCTCAGAGAGGCGTTGAGGCAACTGGCACGAAACAACTGATGGTGACCTACAGACCCCAGGTGGTGGGGGCTCGCGAGCTGCTCCTGAAACTTCTAGATCAAGGTTTCAACCCCTCGATACTATCTGAAGACCCCCTACAGAAGCAGGCAAGGATGTACACTGCGAGCCGATCTTCTCTGCTTGCAAATTGCAGACGCTTTGGACACAACGATGGCAACAATACCAACTGCGTGGTTTGATAAAAGTGGTATTGGTTTTTTTCTTTAGTGGCTTTGTGCTGCAGAAGGAAACTGTTCTGGGGAACCAAAGGGCTATGCTCGGCTCCCTGCTGTTCTCACTTATACCCGCCCTCGCTGTCGTCTGCATCTCCGTCATGGCCAGGACTGACAAGCTTCCGCCCGTGTTTTTGTGAGTCTCGATCGCATTCCGCTAGACAGTCGACCTGAACAGAACTCAGTTGAAAGAGCAGCCAGCTACAGCC